TTGTGAGGGGCATTTGTCAATAGGACGTCAAGCAGAGTTGACTGTCCCGGATTTTTTAGGTTGTGTCTTGTGGGGACATTTATTAATTGAAACAGGTTAAATTCATCTGTAAAATTTGTGGCCACGGCCGGCGGGTTTAGCCAATTCCAATTTAGATCACCCACTAAAACTATTTCACCTTTTGGGAGGCCCTCCAAAAGCTCTCTCAGGGCAGATGCAGCTTCAACATCCTTCCCACTGGGCGGTCTATAGCAGCAAACTACCAATATCTGTTGATTATTTGGGAGAGTTATTCTGAGAGCTAAACCTTCAAAGCAACATTTTTTAAACAAGGAGTGAGCTGGTGAACATGCAATCTGAGTACGACGTTTCGCCGGTAATTACAACTAGCTTCATGTGGCTTGGCTCTCCAACACACTGGTGTGCTGTACTAGTGACGAATTGGCATGTTCTGTTTCCGGGACAACCCTTACTAGTTGGCTGTGTCGGGTGGTTGCGGGTTTTAGCGACACATTTATAAATTTACACAATCTAACCCCAAAAAAAACCTCCATTATGGATGCTATTGGTCGCGAAAGCCTACGTGTTAAAATAAAATTGCTATTTGCTTCACATGGTGACCTTGGTATTGCAAGTCGAATGTGCTGACCAATAGACTATAACTATATCTAATATGTCTTCAGTTAGATTCATGAATCCGTCTCTAATCACCAGGGCATAGGTGCATAATTTGAACGAAATGTATAATTCCTTACGCAAATCCACAGAAAGGATTAAACTGAATAAACATCAATTTGATTTATAAATCACAATCAAGTGTTATTAATAAAATAAATGCTACCATGTTTTCTCTTTAAACAGCTTATCTTAAACCCATGGCCTCCAAACACTACAGAGCAATACATGTTTAGATATTTCCTTAATTATTTATATTTCATTTATAAGTGGGGAGCAAGTCTGTGATGTAAATGTTTGTTTAAATAATACATAAATATTGCGGATGCATTTTTTTCTGAAATATTGTCTTTAAAAGCACCTATATACAAAAAACAATTGATCAATACAATTTTCAAAAACAACAACAATATAGTACATTAGACACTATTTATAACACGACATGTAAATTCTTTGTTCATTTGAATCCCAGGCCACATTGCTGTGTCACACTCAAACTCACAGTGCAGATCTCGGATTTTTTTAAGTCATTTAGTATCATATAGAATTGTATTGGGCTCCACATTATCGACTGATTTTGATGTAATTCATATATAATTATGAGGGAACATCTGTGGACAATGTAATTTTTTTGTATTTCAGTAATCTAATGCATCGCTTTTCTTATTGTGTGAATATTATGGGAGTGTAATTGTGTGATTTAACGCTGATGTTTTCTTTGCACATTTATTTGCATACATGTATGGAATAAAATATATTAGAATTATAAATGTTGCATCTGACATGGATTTTTTCTGGGAAGTATATTATATATATGTAAATAATATATAAAGAACCAATTAGATGTCTGTATGTGCCAAGACCATAGTGGGTTTAAGTCCTCATAGACAACTACAGCCATGTCTTTGCAAAATAATTAATTTAATATGTTAATTACGCAAAACAAATTTAAATTTTATTACCTAATAGTTCATAAAATATATTTTTACAAAATATCTTGACTGCACTTACAAAATGTATTACTTACCCTGCAACGTTATTGTAATTGTATCACTTAATGCCTTTCAGGGTGTACCACCAGGCAATGGGCATGGCAAGTTGCCTTGGAAACATACAGATAAGACTCTTACTGCAATGCAATCAAATATTCTCCTTGCAGAAAACAGTTGATTTTCATTAAAATTTAAAAAATAGATTTAGAGAAGCAGAAACGTTGAAACATTAACAGGACAAGTAATTTTGAACACTGGTAGAATTGTCAGGTTAGCATAATAAACCTTAGGCAAACACTAAATCAGAATATTAGCAAAACGTGAAGCGAAATCCTATAGCTTGCATGCTACCGGTGTAATGAGTTTCTGCCGTTAGCCTTTTGTGAGTTTAAGTGAAACATAATCACAACATGCTTACACTGGCCAATGCTGAAGCCATTATTATTATTAGATACAGAACATGTCAATCATTTTGTTTCTCCTCTGCGTGACTATTTTTTTTTAATGCGTGGCCTGCTGTAACATTTTGCCTATTAATCAAGGACAACATCCTCCAATCTTGATTTGAAGCTTTTGTGACTGCAGGAATCCATACTCTGGTTCTTTTGGTAAAGTCAAGTAAGGTCGACAAAATAAGAGATCACGACGTTTCGATCGCAACACAAGCAATCGTCATCAGGCCTAAGAACATCCTCCATTTAACCTCAGGGTATAGGGGCAAGTGACGTTCGGTTGTGTTGGCACGAACCTATTAAGGGTCAGCACAACACACGATCAGGAGCTGTAGGCATCAACGACACATACACAAATCGACAAAGATCTCCCTATCGCTGTAGAGATTAAACGATAAAACTGAACTATGTTTACTTGACCAGGTAAGGCCCACTAAGCTACAAACCTTTTTTTTCAGAAGGGCCCTTTCCACAGTTGATAGCTCAACGAAGTGACTGACCATGTAGAATTGTACAGCAGCAAGATACTCCAAACGGATGTTTCCATACGCTAGAGGGAAAACCCCGGATGACCCGGAGAAACATCCACGCGACCACGGGGAGAGAGACACGCAAACTCCAAATATGCAGGCGTCAGGGTTGGGGTTGAGAACGAACTCACGGCCTCCTGCATACCAGGCGAGGTAGTTAACATATTGCCACCGTGTTATTAGCGTGCACCTATTAGGAATGGGAACGTCGCACAAAGGTGTGGGCGGTGTTATAATGATCAGAGCTACGTCCGGTTGCCTTTGTCTTCCCTGCGTTGACGTTGACACATGCGTCACGAGAATTCGGTGATTCATTCAAGGCCGAGTAGCGCTACTGGGGGTGTAAAGACGCGTTCACGCGCTGTTCTCAACTGATGTGTAATGGTCGTGCGCCCTTGGTTGTTATGGCTCTGGTTCTTTACTCGTTTCGGCACTTAAGCGCTGAGTAAATGTAAATATGTATATTTACAGCTGGGGGGATTTTTTTTTTTAACCCAGGTAGTCAAATCGCAGTGTATATGTAGTGGCCTTATTGACGACGGAGACTTGTTCTTTGGAGGCAACACGTATTTATTACAGACACTTCACTCTACAGTGGCTAACCTGATACTTGAAGAGGAAACGGCCTCTTCACCCGTACTCTATAGAGGGAACGTTTCCTGAGCCTTAGCCCACGCTAGCTCCCTGGTTCCCTCTATCCTGGCCCTCTCTCAGGAGGCTATCTGACCTGGCCCAGCTTCAGCGCACGTCCCGATCACCAGCCACACGAGTCCGGCCCTCAGAAGGACATCGGGCCTCGCGGCTCTGGTCTCGCACCCCCTGGCTTGCTTTGCCCGGCCCTCAAAAGGACAGCGGGTCAAAGGAAGTTCCAGGGTCTGGCTAGTTGATCTTCTTTCTTCACTGGCTCTTCATCTTGCTTGAGTCGAACTGCCCTCTCAGCTCCCCGGGTCCCACCTTTTATACTGTCCCTCTCTGAGGGTTGGGGCTGGGAGGGATCACAGCGTCCCCCACAGCCCCCCAGGGTGGTGGCCGTAGCGGACGTGGTTGTGGCCACCGCCCTACAGCCGCGTGTCACCCCCTCCCGTAAAACCTCTACATATATATTCAGTTTAATTTTTAAAATAAATGTACGGCCTTTTAAAAAAAAAATCCAATGACAGATAAATATCTCCCCACGCTGTGCCGGTCTTTGAGGCTATTTAACCATACTTCACCACGCTGGTCAGTGTGAGTTAGTGGGGAGTGATGGTGGTGGGGTGCAGGACCAGTAATGTATGTATGTTTAACTTCATTCGCATTTTTAAAAAATAAATGTGGAGGGGAAAAAAACCCGAAGGACCCGGAGAAAAATCCACTCGACCACGGGTAGAACATGCAAACAGGCAAAACTCCAAATATACAAGAGGCGTCAGGGTCTGGATCGACCCCACGGCCTCCTTCATACAAGGCGAGGCAATTCACATCTCGCGATCGTGGCGTTATTATAAGTGCTACAATAATAATAATAAGTGTTATAACAATTATAAGTGTTAAAATAACGCTGTTAGTGGTAGACAGGAATCGAACTCAGGTCACCGAGTACATGGTGACGTGAGAAAACCACTGCGCAATCACTCCTCAGGTTAAGAACCTATGGGTTCTTAAGAACCCAGTGTTCTTAAGAACCCAGTGTTATGGGTTCAGAACCCAGTGTTATTAAGAACCGCTGTGTTCTTAAGAACCACTGCCTGGGGTGAACGAACCGCTTGGGGGTGCGAGATGCCCTTTCTGGGGGGGAGGGGGGGGTGAGGCATTCCAGATTTCATTTTGAAGGTAAATAATCGAAGCACAAATTCAGCACGGGCACGTCAGTACAACTACTTTGTTTCGTCAAACCCTTTGCATTTATTAACATTATACTTTTAAACAAAAATTGGGAACCGAAGGGGCACAAACGGCTGCAGCAAAGGCGAACAAACACCGCATGAGCCGAACGATATTACGGTCCCTTGGTCTGCATGGAAGCGCTTGCCATGCAGTGTGATGACGAACTTGTGCTCACCTTCCCCGTCCCCCCTCTCTCGGTGCATCTCAAGGCAACGCAGAGAGGAATTCCAGCCGCGTTGGGTGGTGCTGTGTGCGCGCGGGCTCGGCGAACGGCGAGGAACGTGCTGGGGGGAGCGGTGGTTTAGGCGTCCCCGCTCGACGAATCCTCGCCACACGGGGTGGGTTCGACTCCCGCACACGGTCGACACCGGCGACGACTATCCGAACCGGTCCTGGGTCTCAATCCCCTAGGTCGACTCAGCCTCCAAATGAGCACCCGGTGCGGTGTGTAAAAAAAAAAAATCGCCACCGGGGAGACAAATGCGGCAGGGCGCGGTGCTGGCCACCCGCCTCCTCGTGCTCTGTTGCCGGCCTTTTGTGGGCGCTCGCTCACAGCAACTTGCTCCTACGGTCTGGTGAGGCTACACGGGGGATCTTTGTCCGGAAAGAGGGGTGTCAGCAGCGTTGGGTGACGGAGCGCTCCTCCGCGGGACGCAGGGACGATTTCTGGCGCCTCTCTGGACCCGTTTCGCCATCGCCTCCGGAATTCACTCCGCTTCACCCGGGGCTGTGTTGCCCTATGAGCTGCGTGTGCATGTTTTAATTTCCACGGAAATTCTTTTCCTGTTTGGTATTTGAGGAGTGTTTTGTTGTTGTTGTTGTTCTGTTTCACGCTCTCCCCCGTGTTCCCACCACCTCCAATCTCTTTCTATACCACTCTCCCCCCCCCCAGCTCCCATCACCTCCACTCCCTCATTTTCATTTTTGGTTCACGAGCTATCCACCTGCTCGCAACGTCCCTAATCTCTTTCCCCTTTATTAACTAGCTATATTTATTCTACACTGAATCCGTAAAACTACAGTGACGGCAATCAGTAGACCTGTTGTGACCTCACTCACGGAACCGTGTCAGTTCACCAATGTCACCAGTTCGACAAGTGCATCCATCCATCAATTAGATCTTTTTGTTGTTGTTTTACATTTCGAGACATTTATTTCTGTCCCTTGGTTCTCTCCATCACCTCTCTCCCTCTCCCCTCCCACTCCTCGCTAAGTCTCCACCCCAGCGTGTGTGTGTGTGTGGGGGGGGGCATTAGCAGCTGCATCAACATCAGCAGCAGCTGCTGCTGCTGTTGCCTTCCTGCACGAGGTTGATAAGAGCTGCTGCTGTTGCAGCTTGCTGCGCTGTTGAGAAGCAACCTGCCCTATCGGTCGGGATGAGGCCGTGTAGGAACGCCACTCTCCTGGTGGACTTGGCCGCCCTGTGCGGCATCGCCAGCTTCGTGCTGCTCGCCTTGTCCGTGGGCACGGACTACTGGTACATCATGGACACGTCCGGCCTCGGGGAGCAGCTGGAAATCGATAAGCGAGAGGAACTCGGACTCACGCACATGGGGCTGTGGAGGACCTGCACGGGTGAGTGATGCTGCAGATTGCGAGTGATGTTGCGCGACTAATGCCGCACGGGGTGAGTGATGCCGCACGTGAGTGGTGATGCCGCACGTGTCAGTGATGCCGCACGGGGTGAGTGATGTTGCACGTGAGTGATGCTGCACGGGGTGAGTGATGCTGCACAGGAGTAATGTTGCACGTGAGTGAGTGATGCCGCACGGCGTGAGTGATGCTGCACGTCTGTGAGTGATGCTGCACGGGGTGAGTGATGCCGCACGGGGTGAGTGATGCTGCACGGGGTGAGTGATGCTGCACGTGAGTGATGCTGCACGTGAGTGATGCTGCACGTCTGTGAGTGATGCCGCACGGCGTGAGTGATGCCGCACGGGGTGAGTGATGCCGCACGGGGTGAGTGATGCCGCACGGGGTGAGTGATGCTGCACGGGGTGAGTGATGCCGCACGGGGTGAGTGATGCCGCACGGGGTGAGTGATGCCGCACGGGGTGAGTGATGTTGCACGGGGTGAGTGATGCTGCACGGGGTGAGTGATACTGCACGGGGTGAGTGATGCTGCACGGGGTGAGTGATGCCGCACGGGGTGAGTGATGACGCACGGGGTGAGTGATGACGCACGGGGTGAGTGATGCTGCACGGGGTGAGTGATTCCGCACGTGTCAGTGATGCCGCACGGGGTGAGTGATGCCACACGGGATGAGTGATGTTGCACGGGGTGAGTGATGCCGCACGTGAGTGATGCCACACGGGGTGAGTGATGCCACACGGGGTGAGTGATGCCGCACGTGAGTGATGCTGCACGGGGTGAGTGATGCCACACGGGGTGAGTGATGCTGCACGGGGTGAGTGATGCCACACGGGGTGAGTGATGCTGCACGGGGTGAGTGATGACGCACGGGGTGAGTGATGACGCACGGGGTGAGTGATGCTGCACGGGGTGAGTGATGCCACACGGGGTGAGTGATGACGCACGGGGTGAGTGATGCCACACGGGGTGAGTGATGCTGCACGGGGTGAGTGATGACGCACGGGGTGAGTGATGCCACACGGGGTGAGTGATGACGCACGGGGTGAGTGATGCCACACGGGGTGAGTGATGACGCACGGGGTGAGTGATGCCACACGGGGTGAGTGATGCTGCACGGGGTGAGTGATGACGCACGGGGTGAGTGATGTTGCACGTGAGTGAGTGATGCTGCACGTGAGTGGTGCTGCACATGAGTGATGTTAGACGTGTGAGTGATGCTACACGTGTGAGTGGTGCTTCACAAGAGTGGCGATGCACGTGTGAGTGATGCTACACGTGTGAGTGGTGCTTCAAATGAGTGGCGATGCACGTGTGAGTGATGCTGCCCATTTGAGTGACCTGCACGCATGAGTGGTGCTGAAGGTATGGGGAGCGATGTGCAGCGGTTAACACGCTGCACGCTGCACACAAAACCCGGCTACCCAAGTGCGATTCACGCTCACGGCCAACACCAGTGACGATTATCTGAACCGGTTCTGAGCCTCCCCTAGGTCGACTCAGTCTCAAATTAGTATCTGGTGCGGTTGGGTAAACATCACCACCGGGGAGATAAAGGCGGCCGGGCGTGGTGTTGACCACTCACTCCCTCTTGCGCCGTGCCGGCCTTCATAGGTGCTCGCTAACAGCACTTGCTCCTACAATCTGTGAAGCCACCATGGGGGATATTTGTCATTAGTGCTGCACGTGTTTGTGAAGCTGCGTATGTGGCGCGCGATGTAGCGGGCAGAGAGAGGGGGGGTCCAGTTACGCGAAGTCCTCTGTGTCTCTCAAACTCCAGTACTCAAGGACCCCCCCCCCCCAACCCAAACACACGCACACATTTTTGTTTTTAAAGTACTGCATTATTTTGTGTGCGCCGATGGAGCCAGTGATTTTAGAGGGAGTTATGCTACCATTTCCTATCCGATGAGCCAGCAGGACTTATTTCGCGAGCCTTGATCTGCTGATGAGACCCATACTAGGGGTCGATGAAAGCGTTACAGACTTTTAGTTTTTAAACAAATATCCTACCGCTCGTTAACACAACACGAGACGGGCAAGAGGCCCCGGTGTACGTCGTTTCGGCGAGAAACAGAACCGTGGTCAATTTACCGACGTAGAATTTCGATTTGAAGCTTTCGTGACTGCAGGGATTCATATTCTTGGCTCTTTCGGTAAAGTCACCACGTTAGAAGTGAAATAATAAAATAATAAAAATCTAAAACGATAAAATTCTCACGACGTTTCCATTGCAACACAAGCAATCATCATCAGGTGTGAAAACTTTCAATTCCGTATCCAATTGAAGATGCCGCACGCGTTGCACGCACCTGATGATGGCGTTCGCGAGGAGTTGCAGGCAGTGAGGGACTCTTGAGAGATAACCTCTACGCGTGACGAATGAAGCGGTTTGTTTTTTATAAAACAGGCGTCCATCAATAGGGCCGTTATGTCATTCGAACGACACCTTTCGTGTGCAAATACACTAAAAGCACGTTTACAAACACACTTTCATTGCGCGTCTCCTCAGGAAACAGACTAATGACGACTATAAAGATTGACGAAGAGCGGGCGATACATTTATAGATTCCCACTCATTCCTAAACGGGGGACCCTCTTTGTTCTGAGCAAGTGGTTAAGTTCTGTGAAAGCCAGTGCCACTTATGCGACAGGCGCGACTAAGAGAGGGTAACAATATATGTTTATTAATATTGGTGGGAGACATGTATAGGTTTTCAAAGTAAAATTTTCCATCTCTATAAATTTTCGCTAATATTCATTTAAAATACCCATTCTCCATTCACGTTTGCTGCCACATGCATGTGCAATGGACTGGCACAACATATCAAACAAGCCTCACTAGTGGGATATCTCTACATGGATCACCCGTATATATTGCCCATTACGTGAGTGTTAGTCCATAACGCACACGTATGTTCGACGTTCGAGAGCATGATAGTAATTTCAATGAATGTGTATTTTCCCGAAAAAAGTGGCTGTAACGTGAGACTAATATCACAATGTCCATTACGCGCTTGCTCACAAGATGGCTAATAGAAGACTGTACAGTATTAGCATTGCAATTAAGCAGCCAGGTGAATACACGAGTGGCAAATTAATTTAGCCCGACAATTTGTTTTCCCATCAGCGTCTACACGCTTGTATACATATCTATAAATAATGCATTTCAATAACAGATTTCCGCAAATAACCTTCACTCCATGAGCAATATTTCAACACCTGGGCAACGAATTGCCCACTTTACTGCAGGATAATCCTAACCCGCATGTGTGCATGAATGTATACCAATTTCCCGGCGCAGCAGTTGAAACAATGGGCAGTCGGCTATTTAATACAACTCAATTGTATCAAGCACTGGGCTGTCCAGTGCGAGTCTGAAGCTTCATGTATGATAACTAAATAAATGCTCATAATTATCCAGTGAACATGCAACGTTGGACCTACGTTGAGTCAATGGTTCTAGCCACATTCCAACATTGGCCCAATAGAGCTTTAGGCTTGTCAGATACAGTAGCTTAGATGTGTACCTAGAAGATAAATAAGTAGGATTGCATATAATTTGACAATGAATTTGCCTTCTAATAAGCGTACGGGGTTTGTTTGCATTTTGAAGTTGGTAAACTCCAATCTCAGACCATTTTTTTTTTACAATACCGTTATGCACATGGAAAATTGGAATTCATTCCTTAAAGGTCTAATGTCAACCAAACATTATCCTCGCGCTATAACCTATATTCCAGTGTATCAATATTCTGTAAAATATATATATACGAGTAGAAATACCTTTTTCTTCTGAAATTACACCTTTTTTCTGAAATTACAGGTTGCGAAATGGATAGGTACCCCGTTAAAATATCTCCGTTTTGAGAAATTATAGAGGGAGATGAGAATTTTATTTGAAAGCTGATAAACATCTCCCGCCAATCTCAATACGAAACAAGTTCAATATTTTAACATACTCCTACTTGATATTTTAAGCCATCGTTTTCACAATATCCAGTCACCCGTTGGGAAGGAAATGGGTCATGATACATGTAAATAAATGTGGTATATTTAAATGATAATGGTGACGTTCACCTTTGAAACCAGTGTTCTTGATGAACGTGTTGAGTTTCTGCATTGTGTTTTGCACCACTGCCAATGCAGTATCACCGAATAATGTGTATGTATAAATGGAAAAAACCCCGCTCACACTCGTCAAAAAACACTTCCTTGAAATAAATACATATTTTGAAAATCGGCGACATTTCGGGCAATGGCCCTGCTTCAAAGCACATAAACAATGAAGGGCTAATTGCAAAAATGTCACTGATGACATTTTATTTCATTTTTAGGCAGTGATATTGACGAGTGTGAGTGAGGGGCTGTTTGTCAACTGGGCTTGTGCACCATTGCCAAAGCATCATCATCATATAATTTGCATTAATTTTTGGATCACCCTGTAAAGATGTGTAGTGACATATGATGTCATTACCGTGTTGGGTCTGTTCGCACACGCCACTGCTATGTCGGGTCGGTACGAATGACGTCATTACCGGGTCGGGCAGTGTGGAGGCTGTTGACGAGTGCCACGGGGGTCGTGTCAGGCTGGACACGTGACCGGATCAAGGTGGGGGCCAGGGGTCCCAGGGGGACCTAGGGGGTCACGTGGTCGGGGAGCAGAGCCTTCTCAAGGGTTCGAGAAGGTGGGCGTGGCCTGAGTGTGGCCGGCCACGCCGAGGCGCATATAAGCAGGCTCCGCACGCAGAGCGGGGCTGTTCGTGTCCGGGATGAAGACGCCTCATGAACACTGAAGACAGAAGCCTCAAGTCGTCGTGGCCAAGCAGAAGCCCTCGTGGCTTGGCCACGTTGAGTAGTACCCGAGTGTTAACGAGAATAGGATGGTGGTCACCACCTTATATATAGTGTGTGTGTGTTACAGTTGTATTGCAGTTGTGTTAAATAAATAGTGTTGCCTCCATACGAGTGCATGCGCCTCTGT